AATTACACAGCATTTTGGAGTTTGTAACACAACTTTCACAGTGAGTACCTAGAACTCGTTTGTTCGTTTCAATGTAATTTACTTCGATTGTTTTAAAATGTACAATCATTTTTCCCTGTTACATAATTATCTAGTAGTTTGGAGTTTGTACCTCACAATTAGCCTGGTAAACTCCTATGAAACTAAAGGGCAGTAAAATTACAGTACCTGTAAAAGATTTCATTCCTCTCTGTATCACTACATTCCCTCAATACAGGTTCTTTCTTCTTTTCTTTTGACTCGCTCCCTGCCTGGACCATTCAGAGATATACAATAGAGTCGGCGATTTGTGTAAGTAGGCATGCGAGGACTGTCTGTGAGGTGAGCGTGTATGTATGTGCATGTAAGTGAGCTGTAAGGAGTATGTAGAGTGGGAGGAAACCTTTAGGAGCAGATTAAGTCCCTGTGATCATTGCCATGTGAAAGCAAGAGGGCTTTCTATGACTAATAGGATAAAGCTGGACTGCCTTTCTGACTGTGGGCAGCTCACGGCAGGTAACAAAGCACTGACTGCCCACACAGTTCAGCCATAGAGAAGCAATAAACAGCCCCGGCACGTGCACACAGCTGAGCACTGAACATGACGAGAGAGAAATTATTTCCGTAATGGCTGTTTATTCGACACAGTGCTCCACAGTGAGTGCATTTAATATGTCATGCCATGCTCATGCCCTGAAACTTGAAAACCAATGTTAGTGAATTTTTACTGTATATAAAAATTAAAAATAAATTGTTCCACTTATTAGAGTAAAATGTAAAATGCAGTTTACATTCATTCATTCATTCATTCATTCATTCACTCATTTGTTCATTTTGTAATTAAATTATTATTCAGGCTGCCCACAGATGAGGGCATAAGATTGGCTCTTTCTTTAAAAATGTTATACTATTCACACATCCAGCTTTGGAGAACATAGCAGGAGGTCTGCATTCACTGTGACAGTGTGTCTTTTTCTTTTTTCTTTTTCTTTCTTTCATTTTTTTTTTTTTTGTGAATCTAATTAAAATAAAGCTTTGGGATACTTAATCTTTTCCAGCTAATGAGGCTTTGGAACATTTTCCTCATTTGACATTCCTGTAGCTCGTGAGGTTTTAACTGAACAGCATGAGGTGTTCATTGAGTTCAATGGTGATGGAGATACACTATATGTCCAAAAGTATCCAGACACCCTTCTAATTAGTGAATTCAGCTACTTTAAAGGGACATTCCACCAATTGTAATGACTGCAGAATTAAATGGTTAAAATGTAAACAAAGTCTTTCAGAGTGGCTTGATATGAAATAGAAACTTGCCAAATTAAACCTGTTAACAGTGGTGGTAATAGGAACCAGATGTCTATAGCTTTTAATGCTGACTAAAAGCTACCTCAAATAAATGATTTGTGTTATAAGCTAAACTTCTTTTTTTCGATTTGCCACTGTTACCATGATGAACTTTACATTTAAAAACTCAGAAAACACGTGTAGGTTCACTGGTCCTTATGGATAGTACATAATATATATTCGTGGTGTAGACATGGACGTTGCGACCCCTGGTTCCTATCACCACCCCTGTATAGAAAATCTGAGTTGTTAAGTTTCTCTAAAATTAACCATTTCACACCAAACCACCCTGAAAGAATTTCAATCTAAAATTTGAAAAGTTGTGTGGACCAATTATAGGCTTTCACTTGAAAGAAAGGCATTGACAATAGAATAGGACACTGGAGCAGTCGCATATGAGCCTACAGGTCACCATGTCCAATACCAGGTGTTGGCTTATGGGTTATAAAACACCCCACTATTGGACATTGGAGCAGTGGAACTGCATTCTCTGTAGCTCCTTTCAATACCTTTGGGATGAGTTGGAGTGGAGTTTGTGATCCAGAACCGTTCATCCAACATCAGTACATGACATCATTAATGCTCTTCTAGCTGAATGCAATCAAATTCTCACAGCAATGCTCCAGCATCTAGTGTAAAGACTTCCCGGGAAGAGTAGAGGTTGTAACTGCAGCAAAGAAGGACAGACTCCCTTTTAATACCCTTGATTTCAGAAGATATGTTGGATGAGCAGGTATCTACAACGTTTGGGCGTATAGTGTATTTCCCTAATGTTTGAGGAAACTAAATTAACCAAATGAGGTGGATTGTTTCCTCTCCTCCTTCACAGCCACACTCTGCTCTCTGTGCTCACATAGGCTGCAGTGTAAAGTATGGGTCCGTGTGACTCAGACCTCATCCTAATTAGATCCCTTTTTGCATGTCTTTAAGAGGGAATGGAAGACCAGCTAATGAAAACACACTGCCAGCCTGTTGTTGTGCTTTAAGGGCCTTTGCATTGTGTGTGTAGTGGACGCCCCACTGAGTATGTTAATGCCTGTTAATTGGCTGTCCTGTCATGCTGGGCAGCACACAGCGCTCCAACAACACAGTCATTGAGCCTCCTCCTCCGCTTCCTCCTCAAGCGGGAGGGTGTGGACCCAGCCGGGACAATTTACTTTTACAAATCCAGATCCAGACCCATACAAATATATATAATCTGTAGAAGTGTTGGCCTTGCCTGGATTTTGCCTGGCTAATTTTCCCAGCTGGGACAATTTATTTATATAATTCATACATACACTATAGGGAAAAACTATTGGGCCATCTATACATTACACCTACAGAAACTTTTCGACACCCCATTCTAAATCAATAGGCAATAATATAGAGGTGCCCCCCCCCCCATAACAGCTATAACAGCTATAACAGCTTCCACTCTTCTGGGAAGTTTTCTACAAGATTTTGGAGTGTGTCTGTGGGAGTTTTTGCCCATTCATCCAGAAGAGCATTAGTGAGGACAGACACTGATGTTGGATGAGAGGGCCTGGCTCACAATCTCTGTTCTAGTTCATCACAAAGGTGTTCAATGGGGTTGAGGTCAGGGCTCTGTGCAGGCCAGTCAAGTTCTTCCACACCAAACTCACCCAGCCATGCCTTTATGGACCTTCCTTTGTGCACTGGGGCTCAGTCATGCTGGAACAGAAAACGGTCTTTCCCAAACTGTTCCCAAAAAGTTGGAAGCATACAATTGTCCAAAGTGTCTTGGTCTGCTGAAGCATTAAGATTTCCCTTCACCGGAGCTAAGGGGCCTAAACCAACCCCTGAAAAACAACCCCACAGCATTATCCCTCCTCCACCAAACTTTACAGTTGGCACAATGCAGTCAGGCAGGTAATGTTCTTCTAGCATTTGCCAAACCCAAACTCGTCCATCAGACTGCCAGACAGAGAAGTGTGATTTGTCACTCGACAGAATACATTTCCACTGCTCCAGAGTCCAGTGGCAGCATGCTTTACACCACTCCCCGCAGTGGCATGTTTAAAGTCACTGAGTATGAGCTCTTCTACTGCGAATGTTTATCTGTCGAGACTGCAAGGCTATGTGCTTAATTTGATTCACCTGTTAGCAATGGGTGTGGCTGAACTCAATAATTAGGTGTCTCAGTATTTCAGTATTTCATATATATACATGCATTTTTATTTTTCTTTGGAAATTACCAAATAAACAAAATATATAAAGAAATTCTATTTGATTACAGTCAGAAGTGGATTATAACTAGTTGCAATTTCATTAATCATGTACACAAGTCAAAATGTTGGTACTAATTGGTTTGGTACTTCTCAAATAATTTTCTCAAAATTACTTTTACTTCCACTTATGTACCTTTATCTAGGAAGAATCTACTTCTTCCTTTATTTTATAGAATTCTTTTTTGTGTTTCATCTCATTCTGTTTTGTTGGTTCTGCTTCGCTGTTGTTCTCACCTCACTTCTGAATTGTAGCTTTTTTTGTATTAGATCAAAAAGATCCCTAAAAGAGAAGAGTATCACCTTAAAAATGCAGTTTCTATGCTGATGCTGGATGTATTAAGAGGTTCCACTGGAGTTTCCACTACTTGAGAAGTTTTCTTGGTAGCTTGCTTGAGTTATTATTTCATGCTTCAGTACCAACACTTTTGACTCAGGTGTGGTTTTATGCTCCTTCACCCACATCTGATTTCAACTTTAGTGAATATGTGAGAAATGAAAATGATTTATCACTTGGGCCTTCTTGTAAAATAAGGCCTTCCCTATCACAGCCCCCAAACTAAGCAATATTTTGTGCTTTTCGTCATCTAGCACAGGGCATTTGGTTCGTTAACTACTTGAAAAGCTCCTTTTGTGCTGAATCAATTGTGTTAGAGCAGAGAAAACACAAAATGTGCAGAGCGTGGACAGACTTTGGGAACCGCTGCTCTAAAATGTTTCTCTGGGCTGGGTTTCCCAAAGGCATTTTATAGTACAACGATGATTATTAAGTGGCAGAGCGAGCATCACACTGAACACTCTCTTTACCAGATGCTGTCATCTTAACAGTAAGATGCTTTTGGGAAACTGAGCCCAGACTCGCTGAGAAGGTCCATGCTGAGATATCAGCTCTTGGGTGACTTATGATAATCGCTTTATGTCAACAAGCCAGTCAGTAAAAGCACACATTAAGAGAACTACCCAACCTCAGTGTTCGTGTTTACACTCCAGTTTCTGGAAGTCCTGTACCCAACTTGAGCGCCTTTTATAGTTTAGGCTCTCTGCGTGCTCCGCCCCCTCAGCCCGCTCTACACTGTGATAGGTCCGTTTATCGATCCGTTCTTTCAGCGTATATTCGTCGGCTCTGTGTGAGCGGTCACCACGGCAACCTGGTGTTCATTGCGCTCGCGGTGCTCAGACGCTGGAGCTCACGCGGACGCGTTCGGTCGCGCGCTCTCAACGGTCACAGAAGGAGAAGCCGTTAGACATGTTCAGTTAGGTTTCCGGGCGGAGAAGCGGGACTCACGGCTGCTGGAATATACGCGCGTGTGTGTTTACGAGTTTTTGTGTTTATTTTTCTACTTTTTTGAACGGTGTGAAATTTGAACAAATGAAAGTGACGCTCAGAGCGGAGTGAACTACTTCTACACCATGACCAGGACCGCCGCTTCTTCACTGCTGCTTCTGCTGCTCACCGCTTTACCAGGTAGCGTAGGCTATATCTCCTAATATTTATCCATAACGTTATATTTCATTTGTCTCTTTTATTACAAATACGTTGCAGATGGAAAAAAGAGATTTATATTAATATGAAAGATTTATGTATATGAGACCATGAATTAACTGTGTTTGTTCATCATTTAGCCTATAGGCTTATGAGCGACCACGCGTTCCTTTATATCGGTTTATCTTTTCTTTCTGCTATATTTTCTGTTATCTTTTATTTATACGTTTCTGTATTGTGTTACGGTTGAACTCAAGCTCGAGTTTGTAGCGCTTTCTCTCAGTGTATTGCCTATTTCCGCCTTTTGTTTTATACCAACCTATCTGTTTCAGGCAGTATTTATCTGTTCTATTCAGTATTTTCCTGTTAACGTTAGAGCTAAACGCACTTCTAAGGACTTCAGCTTTACCTGAGGACCGTCAGGAGCAGCTGAAGGGTTTTTGGTAGTCGAGGCTTCTTTTGAAGCGGCAGTATCATGAAAACACTAACGTGTCCAAACTACTGCTTACACACGGTAGAATAAGAATAGCAATTTAATACGTGTTTTCTTCTGGTGGCTTTGACTTCGAGCTGACTGCTTTGTTTATTAATCCGTTTATGTTCTACACATAAATTTAGGTGAGAAGGGAAAACGTTACAGAATCTGTTCTGATTGGACATTTTGTATCTTGGATGAGCGTCGATTAATACCCATTTGTTTTTTTATAATTAGCCGATATGGAGCTTGTGTACTTGTATTCAAATTTGAATTTTCTTTCGTTGTGTTAAAAGTAAGTCAAAACTGAATTGAATATGACACATTAAGTGTTTAAAACTCATATTGTAGCCAGATGGCTCCCGGTTTGAAAAGTTTCCTCAGGTCTGTGCTCAGGTATGAACATTAATTAGTTAATTTTCATCGTATGCCACGAAATTTGGATTCACATCTCACTTAACAGTGAATCGGTTGCTGCTGTGTCTGTCATCAATCCAGCATGGATTTTGCTCACAGTGACTCGTTCTTGGTGGTTATGTGGTTTAATCAGGCTGATATAATGGAGATTTTAAAGGTGATATGAACTCTTGCAAGACCTTTCTCAAGAACTCAGCAGACACACATGACTCATGAGCTGGGAAATGCTGCTATAATAATAATAGGGAAAGTGGATATGAACTTTATTATTTAATATTATTTAATGCTTTTACTGTTATACGCTTGTGTGAAGCACTTTTGAATTGCCTCTGTGTATGAAAGGTGCAAATAAACTTGCCTTGTAAACCTGTAAGACTTTTCTCACCTGGTCCTGAGAGCTCAGAGGTGTTAGAGATGAAGTGTGTTGTGATTCATGATAAAGTATGTTGCCTTGAAGGTGGAAGTAATAACAAACCTTTTTTTGCAATGAGTCATTAGTGCCCAGCTGTGTTCTTACAATCTGGTTAATTGATAGTAATGTTTTAGTAAATTCATATTCTTCTTTGACTTTACATTACTGCACATTTATGTTGCTGGAGAGTATGAAGTCATTTTAAATGAATTGTTAATTAAATTGTTGATTGGTCAGTCGTTGAGATATCTCAATATTAATTTAAAGTGAAGATGGCCAGTATTTGTTGGTTTTTTAAGGGGGAATATTCCACTCATTTCCTTAACATGCATAACTCTATTCTAATCTGCATAAAATGAAAACAGAGTCATTCAGTGTGGTGTGATGCGAAATGCACTTGAACCTGGATTTTAATGTACCTGACACATTGTTTGTGATAGTCTTACAAAAAACTTTTGGCCTAAAACATTGTACAGGTACATGCAGGGCAGAGTGGTACATGCAGGGTGGTGTAAGACACAAGAGTGCCCAGAAAATTATTTTTTTTTTTTTTTCAGATTTACCACTATTTTACCATTATCATTACATATAAACTGCAAGTTCGCTGGTTGTTTTGAGTAGTAAATAAAATGACTATATTTGCTGTAGTAATTTACTGTAGACATTGCAACCACTCTTTCTTTTCACCACCATTGTAAAGAAGAGTTACTGAATTTCTCTACAATGCACCATTTTACATCAAACCACTGAATGACTTTGTTTATATCACGTTATGCTTTTATTAAGCAGAATATTTGATTTTTTGACTTCCCCTATTGCTAAAATAAGGCATTCCGTTCTCTTATGGATGGGTACTGGAGTGTTAGGGTTTGGACTGAAATTATGCATGACACCAGGTTTTTGGTTGAAAACAGCAAGTTCATGGTCACCAGTGCATAGCAGACAGACGGACCTGGGCCAGACAGTGACACTGACCCTTGACCCTGACCCTTGTCCCAGCCCCACTGCACCCCAACACCCCTCATCTCCATACGACTGGGGAAGGGTTAGGGTTGGGATAGGAGGGGCAGAGGGGGCTGCTCTGATTGAGATCTCATTAAAAGAGGCGGTAATCCATGCAGCTGCCCCATCCCAGCACACACACACAGAGGCACAACTAGGCTACTTTTAATCCAACAAGGCTCCCCCCGGTTCAGGGGGTTAATCCAAAAGATCCACACAGCGTGCGTCTCAGAGCCAGTCCAGCAGCCCGCGTACAGGAGGGGGGACACTACATCCATTCTCTCTGTCCCGTGGATCACCCGCCTGCCGCAATACACTCGCGAGCTGGGGCTGTTTCATGTTTACCAATTAGGGCCAAACCTGATTCAGTGCTGTGGGAACTGATTTGCTGCTGCGAATATGCATTAGGGGCAAGTGCTGAGGCCTTTATAACAGAGCAGAGCCAGAAGTAAAGGGCCATTAAACTGATCTCTCCACCATTTAACACGTCACATGATACTGACACATGAAAATACAATCCTTTTTTGATTGAAGATACAGTAGTTTGCTTTATGGCAGAAGTTAGAGTAAATTCTGTCAGAAAGAAGTTGCTCCCTGATCTCTGCTCTCAGCAGGCACTCTTCAGGGTGCAAAAAGCAAGGTTTTGTCCTTTGGAAACATCCCAGTTCTCCTGTTTCATCTGCATGCACTTCTTTAAATAGGTGTAAATGTTCATTTCTTTAAATTTAAATGTGTTTAAATATTATCGCTATGAAAAAAAAAATTGTATCTCCAAAATAGTAACTTTACAAGAGAAGGCAAAAACGTTCTTAGGCTTTAATGTAAATTAATGTAATAAGATTTTATTCCAAGTAATTTGGGAGCATTTCTGTCGTGCCATTCATCAATAAAATTTTTACACAATGTAAATGGCAGCTGCTGTGTTCAAATGTAGAAAAAAAAATGATTAAAATGGAGATACATTTTTTGTTGTTTTGTTTTGTTTGTTTTTGGACAGTGGCAATATTTTAGATTTACTGTAGGTGTCTTAAATTGGCAATAATAATGTTGTTACTTTCAGAACAAAACATTCTATCTCCTTTAAAGGAGTAGGGAAAAAAATATTTTGGACCACTTGTAGTCCATTCATCATGAAATGTTTTTACAATGGAAGTGCAGATGGCATTTTTATATAATGAAAAAAAAAATACAGAAATGGAGAATTTTTGTTTCAATAGCAACTGTATGTTTTACTTATACAGTACCTTTCTGAAGCTCAAAGTTGTTTACAAATTCCATTATTGAACACCTTGGAACATGTTCTATCATTAGTTTTGTACATATCATCTAGCAGTTTTGTATTTCAATGAAAGTGTGTTTTGAGAAATCAAACAAAGAGGTCAGTGCAGTATGTATCTTTATGCTCCTCTGCCAGTGTAATGTCACACCACCACTGTGGATGTGTTTCTTCACAGCTTTTTAACAATAGGAAGGTATAAGTTTAATCTTATGGTTCTCATCAGCCTTAAAAACACTGATGTCTGGGTATATATTGATGCTTACTGGATGATGTTTTTGAAAAGTTGGGTGGTGCTTAGCTTCTACACCCGAGTGGTGCATATGTGAAAAGAGTGTATATAGAAACAGAACTCATTATGAAACTTAAACAATCAAGAAAACCGAAAACCATCAAAAGTCTCAATGGAAAATGTGATGTAGTTCACATGTACAGAGCAAGTTAATCTTTTGATAAGCTAGTGCCATATCAATTATTCCAAGAGCACTGACGAGCAGTACCCACTCCCTCTAATTGTTTGTTAATTTAATTACTCCTCTAATATGTCCCAGGGGGTAGTAGAGAGGATGGAAGTGCCCACATTAGGGTTAATTTGGCCAACACCTCAATCGGAAATATTCCTGGGTCTTATACACACCCAATCCTCATTTGGTGTGCACACATTAATGAGCATCCCTGCTTAAACAATGGGTGAGAGCTATGAGTTTGTGTGCCTGCACTGGCAGCAAAGGAGCATAAAGTCAGCCAGCCAGAGAGGGGAGTTAACTCCCATTAGAGAGACAATAGGCCTGCCGTGGGCTGCCTGGCTCCCGCTGTGTTTAGACTCAGTCCCGCAGACTCACTTTCTCTGTCCCAAACTATGGCACTGTGTCTGTCTGCACTGTGACCAACTACTGAGGCTATGGAGACACAGAGGCTATGCAGCCTCTGTTGAATGTGAAACAGGCAGCAGGGTGTGTTGCTTATTCTATGCATCAGCCTATAAAACATTTACAACAGGAGCCATAAAGGAAGATTTAAAGATCTAGCACAATATATTGTATTTCACACTGTTTTAACCCCTTTAGGTTAAACTTGGCCTGCCTTTTGTCCTTAAGTTAAGTTTGCCTCATAATACATCAGCAGGCCTACATAAAAGACACACAGTTTTCTTTTTTTAATTGCGTATTTGAGGCCTTTGGCCAAAACAATGGCATTAAAAAAAAAAAAAGGAATCAAAATGTGAAATGCAGACTTCATGGAAGCCCCAAATTTTGCATCTAGCCTTTCCTCACAAGCACTAGTTCCCAGAGCTTTAGCGAGACAGAGCGGAATATTTCAATTTCAGATTTTGCGACAGGATTTCATTCGTCTGGCTTAGCCGCCACAGACATTAAAAGAAGGGCACACCATCAATGAGGGGATTTGGCCGTGTTTGCCCTGTCTATGTCACCTTGGACCCCCTCACTCTGTTTGTAGGGGGTTCAGCATGATGCAGAACCACAATAAAGTGTGAAGTTCACGGCCAGCCTCGAGCACAATAAACAAAGGAAAGAGGGGTATTGTGGGCTTTTGGTTATCGAACACAAGCTGCTCCCTCCTCCCTGCCCCGCACCCACTCTCTCATGACCTTTAGGGGCTAGGGTCGCCGTCTGCCCATGGGGGTGGGGTTGACGGGGGGTCTGTTAAGGGTGAACCTCCAAAGGCCCTCTCTCATTAATAACACCCAGATGGGAGGTGAAATTATCCCCAAACTGGCTCTCCCAGTCACATGCAGTGCCAGGAGGTCCAATAGCGCTTTACGAGTGGAGATGGATCCTCTATTGTGGGCACATAGAATACAGATGGGGCTGTAGGCATAACTAAATGGCTCTAATTTAACAAAGGAGTCATTATTACCACGAGTAGTTCAGTCAGGAATGGCTAGGTCAGTAAAACAGCGCAGACAAGTAGTATGATCAATTTAATTTATTATATTTTTTATTTCATATTCTAATGAAAACCCTGGGACAATTCTAGTCAATACAAAAGCCAGTAGAAATGTTCATTGGTAAAAAGTCATTTTTAAATAGAGCTTTGGTAACTAATTCAAATGGCCCTACTAGCTATTTTGCACACTCACATTCTGCTGCCAGAACCTCAGAACATTGCTTGGCAGAGGTGGGACACTTTAGGTGGAGACATATGCTCACTGACTTGGCCATTTTTCTGAGTCGTCACTTCACAAGTAAAATTCCAGGAAGCTCAGCTGGAGAAATCTGGCTCATCTTTATTTTATTTTGGTCAAGTGAGAGGAGCAAAGAGCAAGCAAAGACAAACAAAACTAAAAGACCAACTTCTGACCTTCATTGTCTGATTCGTTTGCCATATTTGATGAACTAATCTTCAGTTCAAACCCTCTGGTCTCAGTGGATCAGCTTAGTGCTCTACGTGTAGGCTGAGAAGATGAAGCTCTGTGTGTTTGTTAAGAAGGTCTTAATTTGTAGCACTACTATGGCCTAAGAAAAGAATGTGAAGTGAAGATGATTCTCTCTCAAAAACTCTTTGTCACACACAGCATGAGCTGGAGAAGAGCCAAGGCCTAGAGAGTTAGGTCGTGCGGTGGCGCCATGGCCACAGATCTAGCATGACAGTATGATAATAATAATAATGATGTAATGGTACTGCTGTATTTGAAGACGGTGATGGTCAGCCTGCTGGTATTTCAGATTGTTATTTATATTGATATATAACAAAAACATATCTGCAGTGTATGTTATCTTCAAGTGTTCCTTTCTGGAAATTAATTTTATGTCTAGTTAACATTTACAATACAATAATGTATTATAGTAATGTGTAAGGTTTCTGTTAGTGTAATGTTAAGAACAAAGAAAGAAAAAGAAGAAGAAGAAAAAAACAGCAAAACAGATCAAAACAAGCTATGTCAGGTTTGACATTCTTTCAGCATAGAGTATCTGTACTCAGGAATCATTTACTAATACTAATGTAAACATCAGCTGATACAAAAATGTAGATGATTGAGAAGAGAGGATAGAGGGATGGACAGATGAACTTAGCAGCTGGAATGTAACTGGTGCAGCAGAACTTTGATGAAGATGATGTTGATGGCTATGCACAGAGACATGAGGTTAGAAGGTCAGACAGTAGTTTATGTTGAAGTCTGCATGGTGAGATGGGGTCAGAGGGTCCAGCCGTCATATGCTACGAGAGGTGACAAACTCTCAAGTTCACAACTCAGTGCATTCAAGTTTAAGTGCAACTGGAGTGTTTTTTGTTCCGCCTTTTGGGGACAGCTGGGAGAGGGAACTTTCGGGTGCAGGCTGTGAGAGGGGTCATGGTCTCCGTCAGTGAATCACCCAACACGGGCACCCCAAAAAAGACACAGAGAATGGGGGGACGAGCGTGTCGTCGGAGGCGAAGTTTGAGTGATCGGGTGGCATGGGAAAGTCACCCCCAAGTTCAAGTGAAAAGGGGAAAACTCGGTGGGGGCAGGGAGAGAGGGCAGATGGTTCCACAGAGTAGGGTGGGGGATGATGGGATTGGGTGGGGGGCGCAGGGGCAATTATAGAGTGGTGGGAGCAAAGATGGAGTGCTATCACTGGTCTTACCCAAACCCCAAATCATGCAACCCTTCTCCCTGCTCCCTCCTCCCCTCTCCCCTCCACTTCTGACATTGCAGTGGCTCTCGCTGCTTGAATGGCTCTTTGGCATTCAGTAGCATTGTGTGGCTGTTTTGGGGTGATGGAGAGGGATGGGGGGTGCTAACAGAGCCATCAATCAGAATGGGGAAAGTCAAGTGCAAGTTCAGCTGAGATGAATAGCCTGGAGCAGCCCCTCTTCAGCCAGCCCACGGCCCCTCCTGCGCTGTTGTCCCCAACTTTCTCATGCGAACGCCCCATTGCCTAACAAGTGAATGAAGCTGTCATCAGGGTGCTCTCAGACTTGGGCCAGTTCCTCTGCCTACACCTTTTTTAGAATGAGTTACTGTCCAAACATATTGGCCAGCTGAACCAAAATGTTTTTGCTGAGCCAGGGCCAGCAAAAGAGATATGAGCATATGGAGAACATCTCTGTCTTGTTTGTTTACGGTTGTACTGGTTGTGTTGCTGATGCCATTTATCTCACAGGCTGCTGTTTGGCTAGTCCTGAGGTAGAACCTGACCTTTTGTGAATCCTCTTTTCACTTGTTTTACAGGTTTTTATATCCTGATGGTATTTTTGCAAACTGCTCAGCGATACTCATTACAAGCTTGTTATTGTGACCTATAAATTGAGATCTATGGATGCAGTCATGTGAAAATTCTTGGCAGATTGCAATAACCAATATTTAAAGTAAAAAAAGTTTGTATGTTAATGCTGATTTTCTGGATTTGTTACTCACAGTGACAATAATGGATCAATTTACAAAGGTTACACATACAGGTTCATCGTGCATTTCACACATAGCAATGAGCTTAGTAAGACTGAGATTGATTCAATGATTCAGTGAGGTGAATCGCTGAATCTGCACTACATACTGAATTTACAACAAAAATTTTATTACGTAATTCTGCTGCTACAAGAATCTGCTGCAAGTCTTTAAAATAGTACGCGTCAAAGTTCACTCATTATCTCCTTGCAGACAAATGAGCAGTAATGTCACTGTTGGTGTTAAACTATGCTCTCTAATCAATAACTGTATTATGGGCCATCACTCCTCTTTCTTCTGCCCTCATTCTCAGGGCAGGAGACTGGCCTTTACAGGATTTACAGCTCCATAAAGCTGAGGCTGAGAGCACAGGGCAACCCAGAGTCAAGCCTTAAGACTCTACAGTGACGAACTCCTACTGTTGTGTGTCAGACTCATAAGAAATGACAGATTCTGTACCCATGCTTGTATTCAGTAGTTCTCCTATTCTTCTGTTTCATAGCACAATGTGAAATAATCAAAGTCATTTGTTTAATGATATCATCTTTGCCCCATCAGCTCATCACCATCCTCCATGATGTGCACCATCAACATCATCATCATCATCATCATCATCATCCATCATGAAGCAGTCTTCTCCCTCTCCACCTTCTTCATCTCACAGTTGGAAGATTTCATCCTTGATCTCTTCTTTTCATCCTATGTAAAAACCTGTTAGTCGTTGTAGATCAATAAGAAGTTGTGCTTTACATCACCTGACTGCTCCACTCCTTCTTTCTTTCTCAGGTTTAGGTGGGGCTTCAGAGCTGGCCTTCATTAAAGAGCCCCATGATGTCATCGCAGTGAGAGACCGTCCCTTGATGTTGGACTGTGAGGTGGAGGGGGAGGGGCCTATCACTATTAACTGGCGGCGGAATGGTGTACCCATTCCTACGGGCACCAGAGTGGCCGTGCTGGACAATGGCATGCTCCTGATCCGAAACTTCCAGAAACGGCGTGAGAGCAATGAGACAGATGCTGGAGAGTATGAGTGCGCTGCTCAAAACCGCTACGGCTTGCTGATTAGCCGCAAGGCACGGGTGCAGCTTGCATGTGAGTACCAGTGGAAATGCTCAAGAAAACGGATTAACTCATTACTGCAATTCTGTTTCATGTAATATCCTTCTGTGTCGGGTCCCTAGAGCCTTAAGGACTTGTTTGAATCAGTCATAAGTGTTCTTGTGCATTTGTGTTTTCCTAATAGAATGAAATGCATAGGATGCTTGAGTGGACTTTTAGCTTTCAAGTCAATGCTTTACATGTGTGTAATGCAATGCATTTCATCTAGTGACCTTTTAACTCATACCTGGTAACAATCTCCATCTTCTCTCACACTTTCTTACTCTTTCTCTTTCTCCCTTCCCTCTGTCTTCATATTTCATCTTCCTCTCCACGGCTCTGCCATAAAAAAATCCTTCTGTAATCTTATTCCTTTTGTCTTCCCCCCTTCTTCTATTTATCTTTGACTCATCCCTCTGTTGTCCCTTTGACCAAACCTGCAAATGACTGCCCTCGCTGGCTCTGCTGGGTCTCCCATTAGGCCAGAGGTTACCATGGGTATCCACTCTTGCTCTAAAAACTCTGCCTGCATTATTGATCACCAGCTCTCCTGGTGTTAGGCTGCATAGACAAGTGCTCAAAGCAGCTTTTAACTGGATGTTTCAGGAGGGGATACAGAGAGCTTAAGAGGTGGATGCTAGGATGTACAGTTTGCATTGAAACGTTTCTCTTGTCTCCATTAGCTCTTCCCAAGTTTCACTCCCACCCAGAGTCTATGGCAGTGGATGAAGGAGGGGTGGCCCGCTTTCACTGTGCCGTTAATGGCATCCCTGAGGCTAGCATCACCTGGGAGAAGAACAGGACCACACTCAACACAGATGATGACAGGTTAAACACCCACATAGACATGCACATGTATGCTTTTACATATCCTGGACACCTACTTTTAAATCCAGACCAAGAGTGACACCAGTAGTACCCCTAAACTATTTGGCATGTGTTTCCTTTAATTAGTCAATTCTAATAAAGCATATATGTTAAAGAAAGGAAATTCCTTACATGGTGTGTAGGAGGGGGGATCACCTGGGAGGCTGATTCCAATTTTTTAACAAGAAGAATATTACTTTTAGATATCGAACAGTCTTAATGACATGTGGGCCTATTTTCAAATCATAGTTTTGCATCAGTCGCGATTTTTAATTACTACTACCCAGTGGTGGGGTTATTATCTGATTAAACCCAATAATAAATGCTAGTTATGATGCTATGGTGTCAGGAAAGGTGGCAGGTGGGTATACTGTGCTTTGTAAATGATCCCCAAACACATTGTGTCCACATCTGCCCACGTTGAACACGCATAATTTCCCGATATACTCTTCAAATGAAGGATCTAGTGAAGTGAAAAGTCTAGTCTAAGATATAAGTATAAACATGATACAGTATGCAGCAAAGTAATGTGACAGTAGAAAATTAGTGTAATTTTGCTTTCATTCGTGTAGTAACTGTGAAATTTAAATATTCATCAGGGATCAGAGAAAATAGTCATATAACAGATCTGAAAACTAATATATTGGAGTGGAATTTACACTACTATATTACTAGCTAACTAGATGTATGTTATCAAAATTTATCAGAGCACAACAGGTGACTGCATACAGAAAACACATGAAAGCGCACTGATCACATGACTTATGATTGGACGAATGTGAATTAATTGCTGTCTGCCATCATAGTCAAATCAAAGTCTAACACAAATATATCTCGCTATTTGTAGGTGACCATACTGTAAATTAATCTTCTCAGAGATGATAATACGCTGTCTACCTGCCTATTTGCACCACCACACTAGTGCTCCTATATCTTTGTTTACCACTGATGTGGAAGAGATTCAGGGAGGTGGGCAGTATTTGATTGCTGGTAGCCAATGTGTTTTTCACAACATTACACTTGCATGCACTCGCGCACTGGCACTTGCATGCTGTTGGGAAATGGAGGCACAGCAATCATCAGCAATCTCATTTAATAGGGGACTTTGGGTGCACTATTTCTGGAGCACCGGTGCTGCCCCTGGCAAGTTGTCACCCTAGGCAATTGTCTATATTGTCTACCCGCTTCAGACCAGTTACCCACAACCCAGTCACCGCCACCTGCCTTGGACTGGCTGCCCACTCTACACTGAAGTCTCCTAACTATTACTACCTCCTAACTATTACTACTACTACTATTAATATTAGTAGAATAATAATTTTGTACGTAGTTTGACCAGAGGAGGATGGGTCCCCCCATGTGAGCCTTGGTTCCTCCCAAGGTTTCTTCCTCAGCTCTGAGGGAGTTTTTCCTTGCCACTGTCGCCCCTGGCTTGCTCACCTGGAGGATTTACATTTCATGTTGAAACTTTGTTCTAAACGGATTTCTGTGAAGCTGCTTTGTGACAACATCAGTTGTAAAAAGCGCTATACAAATAAATTTGATTTGATTTGATTTGATCTATATTGCCTATACCAGTATCTGCTACTTAATGACACACGCATATACACACACACTTACTGTACCTTCAGTTAAAATAGTATTAATGTATTGTATTGTCCACTCCCACTCACACTAAATAATTGCTATGCATTACAATGTGTGTAAAAACAGGGATGCACTCAAGTACAAACTCAGATGATTGTTTTGAAGTGACAGTCTCTCTTTCTCACTCTCTCTCTGCAGGTACACTCTGCTGCCTAACGGTATTCTGCAGATCACTGGTGTGCGTCAAGCAGACAGCGGATTATATCGCTGCATGGCCAAAAACATTGCAAACACACGTTACAGTCATGAGGCCCAGCTCACTGTCACTGGTGAGAAGAACAATAAGATTGGTCTTACATACACTGTATGTCTAAAGGTTTGTAGACACTCTTTGAAATTAATGAATTCACCTACTTAGAGGTGCACCCATTGCTGACACGGGTGTTCAAGGTGTGCACACGCTTGTATAATCTCCTTAGAAAAGCATTACCAATTGAATGGGACATTCTGGAGCAGCTGAACATAAACCTAAGATCATCACGCCCAACGACAGCTTAAGCATTGGGCTGTGGAACAGTGGAACCACATTCTCTGGAGTGATGGAGTACCATGACATACCTTTGGGATGGGTTGGAGTAGCATTTACCTGACCTAACTAATGCTTAGGTGGCTGAATGCCATCAAATCCTCAAAGCAATGTTCTAGTGCAAACATCTAGTGCAAAGCCCTCCCAGAAAAGTAGAGGCAGCTACTGCAGTAAGAACAGAATATTAGTAACTCTCTTGATTTTAGAAGAAACACTGGATGAGCAAGTGTCTACAAACTTTTGGACATATGTATTACAGCTGCACCTGAGAAAATCTGACTCTCTCTCTTTCTCTCTCTCTCTCTCTCTCTCTCTCTCTGTCTCTCTCTCTCTCTCTGTCTCTCTCTCTCTCTCTCTCTCTCTCTCTCTGTCTCTTATTACAGTGGCGGCTGCTCGTGCCTATAAGGAGCCAGTGATTCTCTCTGGTCCTCAGAATCTCACTATTAACGTCCATGAGACTGCCATTTTAGAGTGCATTGCCACAGGTAACCCAAGACCCATCGTGTCCTGGAGCAGACTTGGTAAGAATAACACCTTCTCTTTCCAGTTTACCATCATGGCAGACAATGTAAAGACTGTTATGTTTAGAAACATTCTGCAGCTGTGACACATTATGATGAGTTATGGAAAACTTCTTCCTTATAAAGACTTTAAGAGTTAGTCCAGCAGCGACATACTGTATGGTTGACTGTGTGAAGAACAGCATATGGAAACAACATATCATTATACTGTCCAATCAACTTGTTGGCTATTTATAAGCTGAATAAACACTCTCTTCTCATTTTCCTTAGACAAACATAATGAATAATAGATACATAGTGCTATTTAGTCATATCTCCCTAACTGGACCAGCTACATCAAACTATACACAAATCTCAGCTAATTTTACTCTTCCACTCTGTGTTTGTGTTTTCCAGATGGCCGTTCTATCGGAGTGGAGGGGATTCAGGTGTTGGGCACAGGTAATCTGATGATCTCTGACGTCTCCCTCCAACACTCTGGAGTGTATGTGTGCTCAGCCAACAGACCCGGAACTAGGATGAGGCGTACCGCGTTGGGTAGACTGGTAGTGCAAGGTAGGACATACAATACAGTTACTTACAATCCAAACCACTACACTATCTACACAATTTACACATTACCTCACAGGTAATGATAATGATAATAATACAAATTTTACATCCAGTACATCACACAATGTAGAGAGAAAAGCTTTTCTTTACTTCAGGCTACATTTTTTCCAAAAATACATATCATCACATATATACAAATACACAAACAAAACTTTCATTTCTAAAATAGTAATTTTACAGGAGAGGGAAGAAATAATGGGCCTCATTCACCAATCGTTCTTGAGTAGAAATTTCTTCTTAACACCCACTAGTGCAGTTTTCACAAAGATTCTGACATTCACCAGTGTTTTCTTTTCTGGGATTTGTTCTTAGTCAGAACAAAATCTACACACACTCAAGAGCACAAAGGTGTGAACAATTCTGCAGTTTGAGAGCACATCCTGAATCTGACGTAGACTTTTTCTTAGGACATTTCTCAAGAACAAGAGGAAAAAAACCTAAGGAAGATATTGGTGAATGAGGCCACTATTCTTAACTTCAAAGTAAGTTAAAATCTGAAAAATGGCAATATGTAACAAGTTAAAAAGTGCTCCACATCTTTTCAATATTACTAAAAAAGAAACCACTCTAAATCTTACCTAAATTTAACTTCCTACATCACACCTTAAAGCCTTGAATATAGCATTAACTTGAAAGTGTCACTGCTTACCTAAGTTCAACCTACACCTTCCAATAAATAGTCCGTAGCCAAGCTGTTTTTTAAGGATTCATCACTATTTTTCACAGAACAAATGGCCTCTAAGTGTACAGCATGCAACCTTGAGTTTTCCACAGTAGAGTTTTCCTCATAGACAAGTCTTTCATAGTCTTTCTTACAGCTCCCACAGACAGACTTAGCTCCTTTTATTTAGTATATCCTATTCACTGGATTGAATGTAACCTTACTTTCCACTGCTGATGTTTGAGCCTGCCACATTATGGAGGCTGTTTCTCATCTCTTACCACAGACCTCCTCACATATGATTTGAAATAGAGACTATAAGAATGCATGGTTTCATCGTATTTGTAGAAATTTCATCTTACTTGTGATGTCAACCAAATATTTCTCTTTATTTCACAGCTCTTTTTGACTGGACAGTGTGAGATTGTGCAAGAGAGATAGTTATAGTGGATATATGCTCTTTAAAAGCTATATGGCTGACTTGAATAGAGCTGTCAGCTGAGCCTTTGTTATCTGGCCATTTTCCAGTGTCTGGTATCAGAGTCTGCTCATGAGCCACATACGGCTGCCCTGGTGGAGGTCAGACATGAAATTAAATTGCCTCATGCTGGACGTGATTGGTTTTATCTGTCCAGCCCCAAGCCAAGCCATTCAGCTGTTCACTAATTCCAGCCACACATACACAGAAACACACTGACATGTGTATGAGGATAAATTTGGGTAGGCCAGACTAGATTAACCTGGCCTGGTTCTGGCCGTGACCTCTGGGCTGAGTTAACACCCTTCCCCCCCCAACCTCTGACCTCCTGTACATGTGCGCGCACACACACACACACACACACACAAACACACACACACTCATCTCATAATGAATGACTGGAGCTCCAGCTGGAGTCTGATAATGGACTATATGTCAATCTAGTATGTATTACCCTCCCTGTCTCCCACACTGGGGACTATCATATAATGCATTTAGCAGTTAGCAAGTTGCTTGTGCTCATACAATACTGCCATAATCAGGAATAAAGCTGCTGAGCAGAATAAGACACTATTCTCCAGGTCTATGTATCATATATAAACCCACATCATTTTTTCTGTTCATTTTTAAATATACAATACTTTATTACTTTGTACACTTTTATCAATCCCAAAACACAAACAGAGGCTAGACACAGAGCAGAGAAGAGCTTGTATCCTTTGTGTCAGAGGTCTTCTACCTCTATACTCTGAACCCAATCAATCAATAGCTCCCTCTATCAGTCTCTCTCCATCAGAGGCGCTTGGAGCGGCTGGATAATGAATTCATTCATTTATTGATTGACCTGGTAGAGGAACAAAGAAACCTGACCAGTCCTGTCACTTATATTTAAGTAGAGAGCTCTACAAGCACCACTCTTTCACCTCTGCTTCTGGCTTGTTCTTATAAATTTGCTTGCTTTTATGTTTGTGGGCAAGAACAGATGCAGTATAATCCAAACATGAGCAGTTTAGTTGTTAGCAAAGAACCAAATAAGGCACTTATAAATGGTTTAACTGTAGGATGTTCCCTACTACTATCCCTTTTAAGCTACCATTACAGATTCTGGAAACTTTAAAAGAACTTTAATTGTATAACAAAATATAAAATAAAAGTTATACTCCACGATTGAAGATTTGATTTGTGGTTTTGACAAAATAGGGAGGTTAATAACATTTTCTGTTCAGGCTTGATTTCAGGCAGGTCCAGCACACAATTCTGTTCCTCCTTGTTATTCACAATAATTTAGTTTTCTCATTTTTTTAGAAAACCGCATTGTGATAATTTTATTTTTCTCTAATATGAGATATTAGAGCGTGTTTTGGTGCTATACATACAGCGGCCCAGTTTGGGCTATGTATATCATGCTGTTTTAATATGCCTGCTGATGTCTGCTTGTCCTTCACATCACCCCATCTGCTTGCTCTTTCCAGACCCCTGCTCTAGTTTTGCCCTTTGCTCTTGAACTTGAGCAGTTTTTGTGTGTTTGACAGCATTTGGGCCCATGCAGGTGTAGTTTGCATACGATGGGAATATGTAAATGAGAGTTAGTCACGGGTCGGCCTGCTCTGACCCTGTCTGCCCTCTCTCCTCGTGCCGGGCTGGCCTGACGGCTGCAACAGAGCCAAACAGGCTCAGCATATGTGGGCTGACTTGTCTGACTGATAGGGGAAAGACAATGGGTAGCCATCTGGGTAGAGAGAGAGAAAGAGAGAGATTAGGAACTTGACAGATTTAAAGAAGCATTTGGCATTAACATGGCCACTAGTGAATGCATAACACCATACTGAATGTTTTCAGAATCAATGTGTGCTTATTTTTAAGGACCTGTTCTCTTTGTTGAATAGCTGTCTGGGTAGGGGAGAGAGAAAGAGAGGGAGAGAGTGAGATGGGCAGACAGGCAAAGTAGAGGCAAACAGCAAAGAAAGTAAAACTCTTTTTTAGCATAATAAGAAGACCAATCTTAGAAAAGCTTCATCTTATTAATCCCTTTTTTGTTTATTTAATTTATAGGAGAGAAATCATTAGAAATCTAAATAAACATATAGTACGTTAGACTGCATAGGTATTTTAGTCGAGTTAGAGAGAGTAAGGGAGATGGAACAAGGAAAAATAAGAGCATAAAGGTTGGAGCAAGGCTGGAGAGACAATGCAGGGGGTGAGAATGAAAGAACAACATAGGGGAGGAGGGGGAGGCGCAAAACAAATGTGTCTCAGTGAAGGATCACCTCTCACCTCTGATCCCTGACCCTATCCCATCAGGCCCCTAGGAAATGATGCGTATTAAGGGTGGGGGTGGGAGTATGTGTGTGTATGGCAGGGTGATGTGAGAGGTGTTGAGGCTGCATTGGGATCGCAGGCTGGGTGTTGGGGGACGGCGGGTGCTCGTAGTCTTTGGGGACAGCAGGAGGCAGCTGGCCTATCAGCGACACGCATAGACAAATTATAGCTAGAGAGGGAGATGGGTGAGAAACAAAGCAGAACAACTTATTCTGATGCAGACATGCCCGCTCCACCGTTTCCCATGACCATGAACTTTCTGCTGCATAGCGAGGAGCGTTTTGAGTTGTTCTATCTCAGCACTGAACTGTTTAACAAATTGCCCTTTTCAGAAAGAGAGAGATGTGGAGTCAGTCAACAAAGCCTTATAGACGAGGGTAGCATCTCTTAAAGTTGTAACAAAGCTCGCAGTACATTCAGTACATCTCTGTTTGCTGAGCACTCAGCTCTCCAGAGTTAATGCTTTTGCATAAGTTCAAGTGTGAAGAGCTCTTCAAACTGCTGGGCAGGACTGATAGGGTGGATTTATTACAAGAAAGCCCCCCTTCCCAGCACTACGCTGCTATTAAAATGAGCTCTGAACACACACACGCGCTGTCTAAGTGTATGCTTTACTCTTCAATCGAGGTTAGTAAGTACAGCTAGTGGAGTGGCCCCTATTCACAGGCACAATGGGAATCTCTTTGGGAGGAGAAGCAGAAAACTTGCATATCTTTCTGCCTCTCTCTCTCTTTTACATACACAAACACATGCAAAAAAAAGCATATACACACAGTGCAATGTGCGAACAGGCACATAATGAGCCTGATCCTGGCTGCCTGGAGATTTCTCTCTTGATGTGTATATGCTAGGATTTTCATCAATATTTTGACAGAATTTTATAGACATAGCGTGAAAGTGATGTACTGTTTTACCTCTGTAAAACAGATTTGAGCCTGAGGGGATTTGGGCCTCACAAACAGACATAAACTCCAACACACCAGTGATTAATGGCTTCTTTTCAGATGGACCTATCCACCCCCCCCCTCCTGATACCCTCCACTCCCTGCCTGAGGTCTGAGCTGATCTTTCAGGTCAGAAGTGGCAGTAGATCAGTACTTTATGAGGCACAGAAGGCTGTGTCTTGCAGGTAGCATGTGCGTCAGAGGAATTGTGTTTACCGCAGCAATGGTCAGGGACAGGATTGACCCATCATATGCTTTAAAGTGACCCAAAAAATCTTCGTTCTTGGATTTCAATCATGCATTGTTAAAGAAAATAAGCCTAAGTTTGGGCCATTGATAAGGTTTGTATTGACTGTTCTGGGTCAGAACTGTCTAGGTAATTAAACGACAGTAACTCTGAAAAGGCTGTGGTGCCTGCTACTGTTCAATTCAGGTTCTGAACTACACTGTGTTCGAGAAAAAAAGCTGATCTCATGTTCACGATTCACACATTCAAAACAAGAAAAAAATCGGAACCCTTCTTTCTATCTCAGCTCCTCCAGAATTCCTGCAGTGGCCGCAGTCTGTATCCAAACCACTTGGGAGCAGTGCAGTGTTTACCTGCCAAGCTCAGGGAGTACCAGAGCCTCACCTCATTTGGCTGAAAAATGGCAAGATCCTCACACCTGGTGATAATGTCAAACTCACCAACAGCAACAGGTATCCACTGACCTACTGATTACTCCCCATATTTACCAAAGTCAGGAGACTTTCTATGGCAAAATACAGCACTTTACATAATTTCCTTGTTGACACTGTGGATGTGTTTTGCTCTGCAGCACTCTGGCTGTAACGCGGATCACTGCTGAGGACGAGGCCATATACCAGTGCATAGCAGAGAACAGCGCTGGCACCAACCAGGCTAGTGCGCGCCTGGCTGTGTCCCAATCCACCGACCTCCCCGAGGCTCCACAGGACCTTGCAGCCACACCACACTCACCTACCTCCCTACAGCTGCGCTGGAGCCAGCCTGAAGCACACGTCACCAACAGCATCATTGGATACGTGCTGCATATCCGCATGCTTGGCGGTAAGAGAGAGAAAGAGAGAGGGATAAGGAATGTAACCTAGGGGAGTTGCAGTTTCACTGTGATTTAGTCCTGGGGTCAATATCCAAAGAAACTAAGGGAGTGGTAGAGCTTCTGGGTGCTTACTGATGATGGTGATTTCTGTTTCCACTCCCTGAAAAACTCTCCTTATTTCACCCCAGAGCCAGACAGTAAAGAGCTACAGGAGGCAGTGAGTAAGGACACTTTCCAGCATGATTTCAGCAACCTGGAACCAGCAACCACCTACTCCATCTATGTTAAAGCCTACTCTCCGCTGGGAGCTAGCCAGCAGTCTAGTACTGTCATTGCCACAACACTAGGGGGCGGTAAGTCACCAGACATCCATATTCTATAACAATGTACGAAAGGTTAAAGGGCCCGTCTCACCTAGAACTATGACTTAATAATATTTGTGATGTTGTGTAATATTTAGTAGTGTAGCAGTGCATCCCTCAGCTTCATGAATTTGACAGAATTCACAATTTTATATCCTTTTTGTGTTTTCATCAATTAATCTACTCTTACTTCATTACCCAACATGTGTTGGGTATACTTTCATACAGCGGAATCCTGTCTGCTAGCATAGTCACTGATATAAGTGCTAATAAATACAGATGTGATATTTGGCAACATAGCTATGTATAGCCCACCCTCAAGTATCTGCCCCAAAGTGTATGTAGTTTTTCAAAGGTTTCAAATCATCAAAATGGGCTGTCCGTTCAGTTTAAGATGACGTGTGTCATGAAGGAGGTTACGATGCTTAATATTAGCTTTAATATTAGCAACATTTATGTCAAGTCCTTCTCTAACTTTGTTCTCTATTCCCTCTCTAGTTCCCACCATGCCCAGTTTCTTCACTAAAGTGCTGAACAGCACAGCAATGCAGGTGTATTGGGAGCTGCCCAGTAAACCAGGGAAGGTGGAGGGCTTTAAGCTGTCTTACCGCATGGTACCTCAGGAGCAGTTCAGACCAGAGGAGCGCTTTCCCGGCCACATCAACACACACACCATCTCACACCTCGGTTAGGCTTACACAGACACACACAGACATTCACACAGACCTCCATACTCTGCCTCAAACTTCAGCCTCAGTTTGCCTGAGCTTTATTTTTAAATAATTTAGAACAACTTTCAACAATGTGTACCATTTGAGTATTATCATAATATAATCATTACTCCGCAGACAATTACAAAGATGCATAGACACCTCAATTCAGAAGTGAGTAAACATATTGCTCAGATTCTCCTAATAATTTCTATGCTGTTTCACAGAGCCTGCAGCAGTGTATGAGATTCAGCTGGTAGCATTTAATGGGAATGGAGACAGCATCAGCAACAAACGCCTTGTTTCACTGGCTGAGAGTGGAACAAACAGCAGAAACAATGCTGGTGAGCTACAAACACAGTTCATTTTCACTTTTTAAAAATAGCTATTAAGTGTTTTTACAACATAAACCATATTTACTGTGCATCACCCATAGTTTTCATCTGTATGTAGTGAGATTTTTCCACCACTAGGTAGAGACAGTAAGTTATACAATTTTCCTTCTTCTGCCTCATGCACTTTCAGACATTTCCCTGTGGTCAGGTTAAGGGCACTCCAGAATGTAAGCTTTTTTTTAAAACAAAAAACCTGTAGCTACACTTATCTGCTCAAAATGACATCACTGCAGTTTCCATGTAAGTGAGCTTGTTAGCTGTAGTTGGGCTGGTGCAGCTACAAGTGGCTTACTTCTAAATGGTAATGATCTGGAAACGAAGACATAGATGTGTGCACAGTGAGTTTTTACCTCTTAGACGTGTGGAGAGTGTTTTTAAGTCAAGTGCCCTACAGCTACTCTCAGTTACTAGAATTGTCGGAATGAAAATATTAGTACATTATTTAAAAAAAGAGAGTTGGAGTGAGGTCATAGAAGCATCACTTTTGGTTTATTAACAAATTTTTGCAGTGTATGGTTCTTTAAAGAAACTTTGTTTGTAAATGTGAGTATGAAGAACATTCACAAAATGTAAAGGTTCCACACTAATTAACATTTTTTTTCAGAACAATACAAACAACCATGCCAAGAGTCATGTAGAACATGAAATTTTTAAGAATGTAGTTAGAACCAAGAGCGTGGGAGTGATTTGGAAACTGGGGAGGACACTTTAATGTTAAGGTGAAATTTTTGTTGTGCTTTAACCACAGCAGCAATTTAACAACAGAAACATGGATTTATAATGAAATTAGTTATTTTAAAGTGCTTCATAAAATATTATGTGTAAAAGGTAACATTGTGTTTGTTTACCCTTGCCAGTTTTCTGACTTGTGATTGGGCAGTCACTGCCTGAACAAACACTCTAACCTGTTAACATGAGCACTGAAATGAAAAGCAAGACATAGTATGTGTGGAACAGCCCTTACATTCATCCTGTTCTTCTTGAAGAAAAATGATATATCTTTTGTACGTTTCATGTTTCCTGCAGTGTTTCAGCTAGGTTCATCCTGGATGGTGGCATGAAGCAGTTTCATTGTTTACCCCAGGAAAAATTCTTATTACAGACCAATTTTAGTTCAATATGTCCTATTTTGACACAATTAATACAAATACCGTATTCGACCTATTGTGTAAACAAGTAACAACATGAACCAATAAAAGTGGGAGGGGGGTACATGTTTGAATTGAACAGTGGTTCATATGCCAAGGGTTGGAACTACAGACAAAAACAGTCCCAGAGTGCCTACTCTGAGAAGTTTGATACAAACCAAACTGTCTTCAGTCTAGCTGTGTGCTGATTATCATGTGAAATATGTATATGTCTGTGTCAATGTGCATATATGTGTGTGTATGAACAGAAGGCCAGAGCGTGTGTAACTGCAGGCAGAATGGAGAAGGCTCTATGACCGGCATAGTGGTTGGCATCCACATTGGAATGGCCTGCATCATCTTCTGTGTGCTCTTCCTCATGTTTGCATACCGTCGTAGGTGAGCCTGTATTTACAGAAATACCTGCCCATTCTGACCTGCAGTATTGGTGTATATTTTCATCGATGCTGATCTGAGACTAGTTGTCTGTTTTACGTTTCTCTGACTAATGCACGGTTCACAGAGAATCTGATAGTTTTCCAGAGGCTTTTTATAGATAAGTCAATACTATATGTGGTTTTGGTGTCAGACTACACTGATGCATTTGCTCTGTGTGTGTGTGTGTGTGTGTGTGTAGTTTGTTCTGCAGAAAGGGTACTCAGGATGACTGGAGTGTGTCACAGAGAGGAGCTGGGCCACTGGGGGGTCTGGGAGAGATAGCACCTAAAGAAGGAGTTATCCGCATCTCTGAGGCTGTAGAGCTAATGCCACAGGTAAGGAAACTAATGTGTGAACCTGTCTAAATAAAACCATGTATTGTGTTGTTGTTATGTCACCCTAACAATAAACACTCTTTAAATTGTTATACTGGCATTAACCCATGTGCTATGTATGTTTTCAGTCTCAGGACAGGGCAGCAGAGCACCAGCCTGCAGGGCCACACTGCCACGTCCTCATTGAGCAGCAGCCGAGCAGCCCACCAGACAGTACCACGGGCACAGACACTGGCACTGTCTAAATACCCACACTCTCCTCACCCCCTCTATATCTACCCCTCCCACCATAAAAGCAGTGCTTAGCCCCTCCATCTCACTTTACTCACCAAAGCCTTACTCCAGCCTGCCCACTGCCCCCTGAGACTAACAGACAGTCAGCCTCGAATGCATGCATTGTAGGGATAGTCTTAACCAGCTGGATTTATTTACTGTCTGTACCTCTTGGTGAAAGTTTAAAAGAGATCATTCTAGTACTCTCGCTAATGAATGTAAAGATATCAAGCGTTTTAACTTAATTTTAAAGACTTTGCTGCCTTCAGCCCACTTCTGGTCATAGACCTGGTCCTTTTTCAAGCACATTCACATAGGATTTAATGTTATAGAATGATATAGACAGTTATAGAACCTTTTCATAAAACTCATTAGAAGGTTAAAGCTGCATTTTTGTGATTTCAGACACCCTTTGATTCATATGAGTTTTCCATTTCTTCTAATATATATATATATATATATATATATATATATATATATATATATATATATATATATATATATATATATATATATATATAAATTAGATGCACCAGTAGAAGACTGTGTTTGTCAGGTTGAACCAAAAACTCAGAGGCCTTCGCATGAGTGAACAGATGCTGTAGATTTGACGTTTTTGAATGAATAGTGTGACTGTCATAGTGAAGTAGTCAGTTTGTTAAATTCAGCCATTGAAAGTGAGAGAGATGCCCTTTTTGTTGTCTTCTATAGTCCTATGAATATAAGACGGTGTGATAGTATTACTGTGTTAGCCTGCAGACAGAGTGAGATGGAGTGGCTAGCTCTGCAACCTCCTGTCCATTACCCACCGCCCCTCCCCCCCCATCCTTGCCCTCTCTCCCTGCACCAAAACCCATTACCTCCAAAGATAGCTACCTCAGCCTGACAGGATGTCAGAGCTATCCAGGTAAACCATTCACTTGCCTTGCTGCTGGTTAAGCATACCTACCTCAACCAAAAGCCCCGGGCATGTTATTGCCCATCTTTTTTAGTCTTTCTGGCAGTGCCAGTGTCCTGCGCCATCCTGCCAATGCCTGTGAAACGCTCATGCTATTGCCTTTGCCAAAAGGAGCCTTTGTCTCGTCTGGTGACTTCCACTGTGTTTCTGTGTCTCAGACACTCCTGCTGTAAACTCAACAAACAAACTTGTCTACAAACTCAAGCCTTTCCTCTCCACAAAGGAAAGGAGCTGGAGCTTCTCCCTCTGAACCTCAGTGTTGCTCACCTCACTTGGGTTTGTTTAGATGTGTTGTTGATGGAGCTGCTGGCTCTGACACATAAAAGTTCTCGCATCTCCAGACACAGGAAGTGTGAGAGAGTCTTCACTAATGATCTCCTTCGTGTCAATGTTAGTGAAGCTCCCTCTGGAGAAGAGACCAGTGAAGAATGATCAAATACAAGTTCCAACAGTTCTGCAGGTGTTCTAGCACATTCATCTTTTAAAATACATTTACACAAAGAATAACCCTCATGGGAAAGGATGGACTAACAGAGCACCGTTTCGTCAGCCTGCTCTGCTGTGGCTGACTGAGGTGTTCTAGCACTTTCCTATCAACACCACACACAGTAGGAAGTGTATCGGGGGACCAGTGGTTGTCATGAAGTTCTTCTGTCGCTTTGAAGTATTTACTATCCGTTTTCCTGGTGATTCATTTTGCTTGAAAGATGGAATAGAACTTTCACAAAGCTAGCCACAAAATTAGTCTCCTCTGTTTTTAACCTCTCCAAATAGCGTACTCAGTGAAAGCCAAGTTGAGTGATATCCAAAGATGCCAAATTGTCATGGTTTTCGTCCCTTCCTTTAAGCTCTTTCAGAACATATGTGTCTTTTCTTTCAGTGGTTAAATTAGCTGTTGTCTTCATGTTTTAAGGGCAGCCATGATATTAAAATAACCAAACTCCAGAAGTTCGGCTTCCCATTAACCAAAGCAAAAAACTCAAAACCCTCACATATTTAGTACAAACTTTTAAAAGTCTTTTTATGGTTACCTTTAAGACATGAATATCTGTTTCTAGAATTATAACATATAACATTTAAAATAATAACTAGTGAATATTGGATATATTTTCATATGTTGAGACCAGAAAATAGTAACTGCTTTTCTCTTTTTAATGGTGGAGTTGAAGTTGCCAAATACTTGTCTTATGATTAATATTGAAATGTGACCAAATACCTCATATGTACTTTACTTTTCATATGGATTCTTCTCTTTGACTAAAGCACATAAGTGTGACCAGTGCTTTTTTCACATTTGGTTTATTCAAGCTTTTCTTTGTGATGATGTGTGTATAAATTTGCTGACATTGTAGACAGTTTACAGCCTTGAATTCAGTGGAGCAAATTGAAAAATAAGAAATGAAAAGTTATGAAGACGTTTATTTTACTTTCATATAGAGTAAAAATACATAAGTACATAGTAACACTCCCAGAGGTGCTGTAACTACTGTGCGCATTGTATTGAAGGGCTGTGAATGAACTGTCACTGATTTTAAGGTTTTGCATGGAAAAGCTGTATTTATTACTGATAGGACTCACTGTTTTGTATCTATGTTGACAGCATGTTGCTGATTGAAAGCAACAAGTATGAAACCAAAAGATAAAATATAAAAAAACAAAACAGTAAAAGATTGAGATCCAGAGTCCAGAAAAAAAGTGAAAAAAGAGGATTTTTTGGCTGTTCTCTTGTAGAGCTTTTTATGTTGTATTTTCCCTCCCACCATTTGTTTTCTTCTGTTTAGATGGGAAATATGGCCAAAATTGTCGTATTGTTAAGTTCATTTTTTAAAAATGTTATCCTGTTATTAATAATAATAATAATGTAATGTTTTCTTATTCTTTTCAATATTATTTTCCATTTTTTCTCTCTTTCTCAGTAGAATGAAAGAAGAATGTTGGTTAGAAATGTGAGAATTTGAAACAGAATAGTATGTTGATGGCAAAAAGTAGGGCATAAGGTTCACCACTGTAATATTGTCTCTATTAGAAACTTTTCATTCCTTTAAGCTGTCCATTCTTAGATGATAGAAGATATTTATTCACAATGTGTGAAGCAGGTGTCATCATACATACCATAGATGGCCATATTTTAATAAGCAACATTGAGGCTAGTTTAATTTAAATTGAACTTTTCAAAAAAAGGTTTTGACTTCAGGATTACAACATGATGCAGTACCTCACACTAACTTTATTTATATATTTAACTTGGCAGTACTTCTCCATTTGCTGCTACTGAAAGTGTCACGTAAGTAAGAATGTCCCTAGAATATACTTAATGTGCTACTGACTGCCCAACATATCTATTGTTTAGTATAAATGATAAAACATGTAGAGAAGTAGTGAATGACTGAATGCTTGTACCAATGAGAACACAATGCTTTAATGTTTGTATTTCCCATTTCTTTCAAACTGTAACTGTGTCATTCAGAACCAAACCTCCAGTAGCTTTAAACTGTTGTTCAGTCAGCGCACTGCGTTCTGAGGAATGATTTAGGCAGAGGAACACATCACAGTGACCTAGAAACCCTGCATTTTAAAGGAAACAAAACACGGGAACAAAACAAAATGCAAAGACAGCCTGTCAGAATTGGCTTTGGGATCATATTGAGGGAAAAAAATATCCAGTCAGAATTGGCTCTGAATTATATATATATATATATATATATATATATATATATATATATAGTATATATATATATATATGTGTGTGTGTGTGTGTGTACAGGTATATGCAGAAGTTTGGGCAACCCGGTCAAATGTTGTGTTGATTTTCACATCTTCTACAGAGAACACAAAGTTTTTTTTGCACATTTTAATGCATAGTTACTGTTTCTTTGCTGAATGTAACATATTGGGAAAAAAATAAAACACAAATATGGCCTGTGTAAAATTAATAGCACATTTTATGTTGTATTTTATATTGTATGTTTTTATTCCAGTATGTTGAACTCAGTAAAAAAACAGAAACTGTGCAGTAAAATTTGCCCCAAAAATGCCATATAAATTTGTTGATTCCCTGTAGAAGATGTGTTGACTTATTTTTACTTAGAAAATCAACGAAACATATAATTTGACGGGGGGTATTCAAACTTTTGCATAGGACTGTATATATTTCAAAGAGTTTGCAAACGAAACCATCTACTAGATCCTGCAGGACTCTGGTTGAAGTTACTGTCGAGCGTGCCTCAGCTGAAAAAAATACGATTCCTGTTCTGATTCTGTTTTCATTTGGTTATACTGATGCCTATGTACCAAATAAAAGAGTGCTAAGTAGACATCACTGTCAGAGTAATTATTCTAATCCACAGTTTACATGATGGATGTGTCTTCAAGATGTCATATGTATGCACAGTATGAAGAATATGTTTCTTGAATATAAGTGCTGAAGTGAACAGATGTTTGGTTAGATAGATGTTCTAGTTGGTGTGTTTTTGTGTATGTAAGTGTTTGGTAGTATGTCTTTGTAGTGGCTGTGAATGGTGAGTTGGCACTGAGCCCATAGCGCTCCTGCTGTCTGCTGGTTGTGCTCAGTGGGCACTGTGCCAGCTCCAGCAGAGCCAAGGTGAGCGCCGCATCAGCGAGATGAACACTACAGGAAGCAGAGACGGCACTTTTCACATTCTCACCGCATAGAAGGGCTGAATCGGCACAGAGAGAAAGAGGATGTCAGATATGCTTTATTTAAACCTGGAGTCCTTCTAAATATAGACATGTGCATTCTCTTACACTGACAAATTGTTCTATGTTTACTTCATTTAATATTTCAGTGACCTTGTTTATAGAAACATCAAACCTTATTTACCTATAGTAATGCCTTTTAAAATGAAATCTGTTTACATTAGCCCACATTACAGCTAAAGACATTTTTTGCTTCTCATGTAAAGTTATCATTTCTAAACTTGTTACAACAGTGGTGCTATCTTTTAGTTCTGGGCATTATTGACATGGCTTCCACTGTGAATAGTGTATTCTTAA